ACAAACATGTTCATTCTTAAACTTGATGTGATGATACAATTTCTAAATTAACACTAAATGAATAACATAGCAGTTGTAAAACAGACACTGATAGAAGTTATGTACATGAATATTATTTCAACATTGAAAATATTAAGACAAATAAATAGTTTTCATTTGTTATTATTTTTCAAAGTAAGAAAATACTACAACAAAATTAATTAAATATTTTTATTAGGCAAGGGCACAGAGGAACATGTCCTCCTCTGGTGCCTCAGCAGTAAGTCCTTGGAATTATAAAGCTAAAATATCGGGTTTCAATACCTGCAGTGCGCAGAGCAAAGATATCCCCTTGTGTAGCTTTGCGTTTTGCAAAAACAAACAAAACAATGGGACATTCTATCTTTTTCCAGTCCTAAATACCGTCAATGAGTATTGCGGAATTCATTTTCCAAAAGTTATATTCTTCTGCAATTTCATAATTATTTCAAAGCAAAACGTTTTCCTTTTAGGACAGTGTAGTAAATACTGTCCCGTTTTCTTCACTCTCTTTCATCAATCCGAAATTCAGCCAACAAGGCGAACCAAGTTATTTAGCATCCAATCAGGCCAGAACAGAGGTGGGGAACAGGGGGGACAGTTGGCATGGGCCTACGATTTTGAGGGGCCTACTCCCCCTGTTAGAGGCAAAGGGGGACCGTTTGGTAAAGAATATTGATAGTGCAAAGAGAGTCAGGGGGGGGGTCCTTTAGCACAAAATATTAATAATTTAAAGAAATATTCATAAAAGATTAATACAGATAAAATATAGATAAATAAATGCAGATAACTGAAACCAACTTATGTTCTAAATTTATTATATATATGTATCTTGTTGTGGTGGTCACACACAAATAAAAATATATATTTTCCCACTCTTCTCACGACCGCCACAACGCTCGCCTTAATGAGCAGTTTGAAATGGGGGCCTACATTTTTCATCTGGCCTGGGCCTATTACCAGCTTTGCACGGGCCTGCATCCAATAAACGACTTTCATAAAAAAAAAAAAAGACTGCAAAGCATTTAACTATCATAGAAAAGTTTCTTGTTGAAGATCTTTAACAAAACGTTTGTTCAAAATGCATTTAACCCTTTGATTACCAACATGCATACAATATGTGCCCACATGGTTTACATAAGTTCACACTTTTAATTTTATGGGTAGCTACATTTTGATTAAGCGCCTTAGAATAAATAATTAAACACTGAAAGTTTGGTTACTTTTATCGCGCGTCACAGTTACATTACTAAATTAATCAACTGAGAAATACATAAATCACGAAGCCACATATGTTTCTTTCATCATTTCGTTTCATCTTACTTTTATGCATATAAGTATCTAATTTGAGAACATCAAGGGAACTTCTGGTCCCTCTAGGCTGTCCTATCTACTATACTAAACTATAAAATAAAATTAAAACACTCAAAGCCAGCCCTTATCATTCAAGTATTTATCAAGCTTTTCCTTAAACTTCTTTAAATTAACTAGATCTACCACATCTAAAAGCAATTCATTTCAAAGGCTAACCACTCTTTTAGAAAAATCTAACTGTATTAACTAAATATGACTCCTACCTTGCCAAAATTTATACTTGTGTCCCCTAGTCCTTCCATTCTCACAATTAAACACCAAAAATGATGATACATCAGCTCTGTCGATTCCTTTAACAATCTTAAACACCTCAATCATATCCTCTCTACCTCTTCTTGATTCAAGAGAAAATAATTTCAGAGATCTTAACCTATCCTCGTATGACAACATTTCCATTCCAAGTATTATCCTAGTAGCCCTCCTCTGAAACCTTTCCAATAAATCAATGTCTTTTCTAAGGTAAGGCGCCCAAGTGAACACAATACTCAAAATGTGGTATAACCAATGACATAATAACCTCTTTAAAATTGTATTCAAAATTTCTGTAGATACAGCCTAAAATCCTATTTTCTTGCCACTAGCAACAGCACACTGCTTGGATGGCTTAAGAGACTGCTCAACCAGAACACCAAGACCTGTTTTCATCCATAACACCGTGAAAGTAATTTCCATCAAAATTACACTTATAATTCAAATTGTGATATCCTACACGTATGACCTTGTATTTACTATAATTAAAAGCTATGTGCAATTTATTCACCAAACCCACCAAATAATCTAAATCCTTTTGTAAAGCAGCAACCCCGAAACTTTAATATCACCAGCAAATTTTATATAACTTTTTAACTATTCCTATATTTATATCATTGATGTAAATGAAAAATAACAAAGCCCCTAACACAATCCTAAAGTATCCCACTTGTGACATTAATCCACTTTGACTGAAATCAAATTATAACAACCTTCTAATTTGTTCCATCCATATCCAATCCTTAACTTCTTTCAAGACTCTTCGGCAAATATTATTTGTCCTAGGAGTTATATCATTCTTTAAACCTCAAAACTTTTTCTTAACAAGATCAGAATTAATGTGATCATCTTTTCAATCTTGTTTACATCTAGCAACTGTTCAGAATGAGGAATATTGCTTAAATCTTCATCTGTAAAAATTGAAGAAAAAAGTATAATCTAATAGCCCAGCCATCCCATTATCAATAACCTGTATCATCCCTCAAAGGCCCTACTTCTATCCTAACATTTTGCTTATCCTTAATGTATTTAAAGAAATCTTTATTATTAATTTTCATACTTTCAGCCAACTCTTTCTTCATAGTTTTTTACTTCCTATTTTTCCGTTTAAGCAACTCTCTTGATCTTTTATCATCCTCTAAATCTCCCATCATTGCAGTGAATTTAAACTTATAATGCTTTTCCTTAATTTTATCCTTTGTGAACCAACATGGTTTTTGTACTTTTAGTTAACTCTTTTTGTCTATGAGGAACGTGCCTATCTTCAATATTCAAGAATTTATTTTTAAAGTTTTCCATATGTAACCAATATTTCCATTTAATTCAGTTGCCCAATTCACAGCAGATAACTCTTCTCTCATCTCTTCATTTTTTAAAACTTGGAACCAAAATTTCATTGCCCTTATTACAGTAAAACATCAAATTTAATTAAGCAATGATCACTTGCACCAAGATGCTCCCCAATCTCCATTCTGTCAGCTATTTCTACTAAGCCGGAAACAGAGCTCATCTGATGAGATGATATGTCGCCAGTATCTTAACTATAAGTTGGCATACTGTTTTGCCCAAATAACCCGGTGACGGCAATTAATTCTGGTTAATATCGATAATCAGAAAGCACTTTTAGCAAAATAGCCTTGTAATCATTGTTTTTCTGGATACCCTGGAATGAATGTGTTCGTAAGGTGTTACAAGACTTTTTTCGACCTTGACATGCTAACCTGATCAAAACATAGTTATCTGTGGAGAAGCCGTTGAACAGATTTCGGGCTTATCCCACCAACTTTG